GTCAGTTTCTTGATTCGTTAGCTTAAATATGATTGTAAGGATGATATCATCTGCTCTAAAGATGACTATCATACGACATAAGAAAGCTTAGAACGTTTGGACCGGAATTGCAGAAGATTGCCTCGGAAACAGAATCAACAAGAATGTTGCGGTAAATTCAATCGACAGCTGATCAGGTGGAATCCACCTTCGAATCTGTTCACCAAACACACACTTACTCGAAATGGAAGTAAGCTGAACAAAAATAAAAAAGATGAGCCCAAAAGTGGTGTAAAATGCGTTGTCAAGGCGAGTGAAGAGAAGAACGTTGAATGGGCTTGTTAAGACTTGTGTCGCCCCGTTGCAACATGATTGCGAGGCTGGCGAGGGGTGAAATGAAAGAAAATAGCAGAACTGTCAGAGATCAAGTCACTCGTCACGGTTAGCCGACTGTCGAATGTCCAGCGCTGCTGTAGAAGCGCGTGCGCGTCGTCGAGAGGATACCGAAAAGGACTCAGACTTGGCGAGTAACTTGAAAGAGAACTAGAAAAGAGTTACAACTAACGGGTGGGCTCAAAGTCACCAACCTTGACGGCGAGAAGAGACAATGTGTGCCGAAGCTTACGAGAGCCGAGGCATCCGCGACGACGCCACACACAAGCACAAACGAATCATCACACGTGATTATACCCACAAACATGCAGACAGCCTTGAGTTTCACGAATTCCACGGGTTTTGATAAGAGGGGTTTAGTGCTAATGTCAATGTCAGTAGCAAAACCTGCCGGTCATAATTAGCCCTGTCTGCTAAAGCTGGTGTGAGTGTGTGTGTCTATATTCTGCAAACAGGCGGATCCACTTCAAATAGAGGCTTAGTGGTTTGGTGACAAACGTCGGTTGTAGGGCTTAGTGAGGAAATTGCTGAAGGAGATGACGGGCAGCAAAAGCAATCGGTAATGCCACGAACAAGTGTACCAATTGCAGAATGCCCGGCATAAAATATGGAAATGACGCAATAACCAGAAAGTGATTGGAAGAGCGAGCAGTACACGACAAGACGATTGACGGTGTTAGAGAGGAGTAAAGCAATCTACACACAGCAGACCGTAATCACAAATTACAAATAGCAAATCGCAAATCACCAATACCCAAACACTAATCACCAATCAACCATCGGCAATGGCCAATCAGCGATTAGCACTCGACTAAATCCAGTCACCAATAGAGGACGGACAAGTGAGAATTGACGATGGCCGATCAGCCCGGCGACTAGATTGGATCGGTTAGGGTAAGGTCAGATCAGATCAGATCAGATCAGGTCAGATCAGATCAGGTCAGATCA